ACACAAAACACAAGGATATTTTACTAAATAAGCAATTATCAAACAAATCTTCAATTACATTATTCCTTTTAGGCTACATTGTTATTGTTTTTAATAAAATATCAAATATTCCTGACATTCGATGTGCCGCCTATTAATACAATACTGCCTGGTTTTTCGGTGGACTGCCTCTTAATAATACAGTTCCTACATTTAAGTTTTGAACAGAAGTCCAAGTTAAGCAGAATAATCCAGATAATTACAATCAATGTTTATATACACATACATTGTATATAAATCCTTGTTGTTATCCCTACAATAAAAAAAAAAACAACTGAATGACTGCATGTTAAATTATTAATTGTGATAATCTGCTTACTCGGGACATATGTTCAAAGCCGAAAGATAGGAGTTTAAAAAGTAACAAAATAATTATATTGTGGGTGTCAACTTTTTTCATGAAACCCCCTGTCTTTTTCTTTAAAAGACTTCTTATTTTTTCAAAAAATTTATATAATTTTATCCCTGATTTGTGATACACATAAATCGACAATTTTAGTTTAGTAGGAAGCTGCCTGGAAAATGATGCATACAGGAATACCGCAGATCAGAAAATGGGCAAACCCACAATATAATTATTTTGTTACTTTTTAAAACTCCTATCTTTAAGCTTTGAACACATGTCCCGAGTAAGCAGATTATCACAATTTATAATTTAACAGTCATTCAGTTGTTGGTTTTTTTTTTATTGTGGGGACAACAAGGATTTATATATGTGTATATAAACATTGATTGTAATTATCTTGATTATTCTGCTTAACTTGGACTTCTGTTCAAAACTTAAATGTAGGAACTGTATTATTAAGTAATACCAATATTAGCAACGCACTACTATCATTATACATGTATTGTGCTCATTCCTTGTTCATTCTGGTCTTTAAATTATAAAAAATATACTTCTTTAAGTTTGACATAGCCACATTTATAGCGAAATAACATCGTACCATGACATAATCTTAAATTCTTCTAAGAGATCTGAATCTTTTTTGTCTCGAAAGGGGGCCAGGAGAACGCTGCATGAAAAAGTAATCTCTATTTCTCAGACATGCTGCCACCCCGCAAGACACAGAAACCGCCATCCCGAGCGTCGCATCGAGTTTGAAGCCTAAATTGGCTTAATTAGTAAAATATATTGACTTATAAAGTAGGATTGAAGTTAAATTCTATCGTATTACTTTATTACTGTTTAAGATATAAGGAAAAAACCCTTCTGAGGTCAATTTTGAAACAGAATATTGTGTCAAAAGTCGAAAACGTTGATACCCCGAAAAGTGAGGAGGAGTGTTTGAGAAAACGGAGCACTCTTATAGGCTGCTTTAAACGGTCAGAGGTAGGTTGATATTTGCTCTCTTCCGTAGAATACAATTTTCTGATCTAACACGTCTAAACATATGAAAAAAATTCAGGTTTATTCACCGTGTTGGTGTTTTCCTCGCCTCGGTGCCGCCACCCCGAGTCACGCATTGCCGCCACCCCGAATGTACCGTTCTAACCGGTGAATGTCCAAGTACCAAACTTAAAATTAAAAATATCTTGATTTACAGCTTCAGTTGATTTGATAATATCTTACATGTTTAAATTAAATATATTTAATGATTTAACTTATGATAGATACTTAATGCCATGCAAGTCTCTACATCTCTTTCTACATTGGATTCTCTAAATAATATTTACATCCACTGAATATTATTTCCTTTTTTTTCTTATATAAACTATTGCCGTTAATCATCCATAAACAACACTATGCAAGCCAGCAGCATTGATTCTTAAGCAACGGCTGTTCCATCAATTATGCATACAATGACATACACATCTATAATACAATATTTAACATATTTAATTTACTTTGAATGATTTTTATAAAGATATAACTATAAACAATGAAATGTTTCCTTTGTTTGTTAGTACGGGAATTAACCTCGCCGCTATTGCAGGAAAAATTCACATAACCCACTTATGTATTTTTTCTGCAACAGCTGCTACAATAATTCCCATACTAAAAACCAAAGAAAACATTTTATTGTTTAAGTTAAGCACGACAAGATGTGCATATAGCTGAAAGTACAGAAAGCTACCAATAATCATGATAATTGGTATATAAATTACTTCAGGATTATATTTCACATTTAAATTTTATATCAGTGGTTATTGCTAAAAAGATTTTTTAAATACAACAAAGATCTAAATATTCACTACTACTGGAGTACATGAAGTTCATTCATTTATAAATGTAAAAGTGCTTTTCAGTTATCAGTCCTTTCATCCATGATTAGACTTTGTGATAATTTTTTTTATAAACGAAATTAATATTTCTTGAGTAACAACTAAGCTTTCTGGTCTATGTGTGCTTTTAGAGTTGGACTAAATAGTCTAAACCCCCAATGGAAGAAACTGTACTTTGCATGTATAAGCATTTTAGAAAAATAATATGCAATGGTTATATCATAATTTATAATCGTTT